GGCCTCAGTGTTGTCTTTTTTTTTTTTAAAGAATGATTTTATTTAACTTTATTTATTTTAATTTGACGAGAGAGGTTGAGAGCGAGAGAGAGAGAAAGCAAGCCGCCAGGTCCAGGAATTGAACCATGGTCAACCATGTGGGAGTCCAGTGCCTCTAACCACTACGCCATCTGCCAGCCCGAGTGGCTGTATCCAGAGCGGCCAGGCTCCTGAATGTTTTCTGTCCCTTGAAAGGTTGCAGGTAATGTGCACATCTCTTACCAGTATCCCTCCACCTCTCATACCCCCCGCTCAGAACTCGAACACCCTGAGCTGCCCCTTCTCCCATTTCCTGTGCCTGGAAGAGAATCCCCTCTGTCTCCAGCTTGCTCACTTCCTCCATCTCTACATGTCCGATTAAGCATCTCTTTCTCTAGTCTTTCTGCCCCATGTCCCTGTGGCAGCTGTCCTTCCCATCACAATTCTTACCATGTAGACCGGATAGTACATCTCTAATACCCTCCTTACTAGAGTAACTTCAAACTCTGTCAGGACACACATCAAATCTGTGTCCACCCCAGGCATACCCAGTACCTAGCATCTTCAAGTCCTCAGCAAATGCTTGCAGAGAGTGAGCATAAATGATCAAGAGCTTAAGGAAGTAGTACCTAGACTCAAATCTAGAAGGAAATGAAGACAGACTTGATTGGAAACCACTTAGCTGAAATGGGTGAGAAGCTTATAAGAAATCTCAAGAGGCAGGAAGAAAACATTTTCCATCTCAGAAAATGTTTCTTTCCTTTTCACATGTAAGAAGGCAAGTCCAAAAATGTATTTAAATCCTTGCTGTATTATAAATGGGGTCTGTAAGCTGTGATCAGTTTGATTAGAATTTTTAGAATATAGTGCAGGTTTTAGGGTCCATATCTAGCAACCCTGCATACAGATGCAGACTGCTCTCCACATCTGGATTGCGCATCTGGGGGGCCACATGTCTGTGGTGTAGCAATTGTGGTGTAACGTGTTCTGTGGAGTTGCCCCTCTGCAGAAATGACAGACGGCAATCCTGTCTGAGGCTCCACATAAGAGGTTATTAAACTAACCCGACCCTAGAGGAGACAGCCGCAGCGGTCGCCTGCCAAGAGAGTAACCAAAAGCCAATATATAGAACTACCCTGTTTTCTGACTTTTCTTTTCTCTCTCTCTCTTTTCTTAATGCCAGAGGTTGCATGTACATGAGAGAAAAATCACTGTCCAGTAGGGCTGGTCACACCTCAATCCCTTTTCCTTCCATTCTCCATCCAATTAGGAGCCTTTACCTGCTAGCAGGGCTCTAAGTAAAGGTCACCTTTATAAAGGCCCTGGACACCATTACCGTTTGAGCCAGGCCTGGGTAGCCCTAGGGGGCTCCCTAATCCACAGCCTAGCAGGGTTTATTTTTTTTTTTAAAGAGGTTTTTGCTATAGGGCACGTGTGCTCTCCAGAAAGACACACAGAGAGAGAAAGAGAGAAATCACTCCCCAGGGGTATGGCCACACCGCAATCCTTTCTCCTCCATTCTCCTCTCGGGATCTTGGGCACACACGCACACGTGCCCAGCGTGACTTTAAGCCACTGGGTCTGGGACTCGAACCATGGTTGACGACATGGGAGTCCAGCGACATAGTCATTATGCCAACTGCTGGTCCCTAGCAAATTTACTAAAAAGGTGCAGTCATGTCATCTGGCTCTCTGTTACCTGGCACAGAGGTGGGGAATATCTTTCCAACCCCCATTAGCTGTGCCTATACTGAAAACAGAGCCCATTATTATGGGACAGGGTAGTCAGACTGAAGAATTCTGGGGCAGACAGAAGGGCTGTCAATTAGGGGAATAGCTCAACATGCGTGTTACAGCTAGTAGATAAAACATGTCTGTCATGTCATTCCCAAGGACATTCTAACCATCTGATTACCTCATAAGCTATCATAGAGACCAACCTATATAAAATTCAAATTCACCTTTTTAAATTTCAATTTTATTTTAATATTATTATTATTATTATTAGGGAGATTTTTGCTATAGGATGCGTACATTTGCCAGAGAGATAGAGAGAAACAGAAAGCAAGAAATCATACCCCCTCCTGGGGAGGGGATGGCCATACCATAATCCATTCTTCTCCGTTCATCTCTCCGGATTTTGGGCAGTCACGCACATGGTGCTTGACGTGACTTTTTACTGCCAGGTCTGGGACTTGAACCACATTCAACTATGTGGGAGTCCAACAATGCAACCATTATACCATATGCTGGTCCCATTTTATTTTTTTCTTTTAAAATAATTATTTAATTTTCTTTCTTTCTTTTTTTCCTTCTTCCCTTCTTTCTTTCTTTCCTTCTTTCCTTCTTTCCCTCTTTCCTTCTTTCCTTCCTTCCTTCTTTCCTTCTTCCTTCCTTCCTTCCTTCCTTCCTTTATTTATTTATTTATTTATTTATTTATTTATTTATTTATTATTTTAAGTTAACCAGAGAGGGATAGAGTGAGAGAGGGGGAAAGTGAGAAAGCAAGACACTAGGTCTGGGACTAGAACCACAGTCAGACATGTGGGAGCCCATCGCCTCCAGCCACCACGCCACCTGCTGGGCCCTATTGTTTTTTTTTTTCTAAGACAGTCTCACTCTATTGTGATCCTCCTGCCTCAGCCTACTAGCAGGGCCTCCAGACAGGTGTAGCTTTTGGGAATCAAACCTAGGCCTCCCATGTGGTCTTGGTTTGTAGAGCAGCAACATCTTACCAGCATTTTACACTGAGGCTGGGACCAAAATTCACTTTTACTTGGATTGTAAAGGCGAATTTATAACGCGCCATAATGAAGTGCACTGTGGGCATTTGCTCACATAGATGTGTCACTGCATAGGGTTACAGTCACACTTGAAATGAGAATGTGGACAGCATGTATAAGTGGCAAGGTAACACCCAGATGTGAACCTGGGCAGAGGACTCAAGCCAAAAGAAGAAGGGCTACATCTGTTTGGGAGGGCTCAAGAGAATTTCTTAGAAGTCCTGCAACCATCTTATAGTTAGTTATTGATAATCACAGCAGTGAAGAGCATAAAGGAAGGGTATGGAGCCAGTTAGTGGCATGGTGGTTAAGCTGTCTGGATCTCACATGGCCAACTGTAAAGTTTGAGTCCCAGACCTGACAGCTCAAAAAACATGCTAGGGGGAGCCGGCAGGTGGTGTGGTGGTTAAGGGTGCTGGACTCCCACATGACCGACCATGGCTCAAGTACTGGACCTGATGGCTTGCTTGCTCACTTTCCGTCTCTCTCACTCTCTCTCACTCTGTTCCTCTCTGGTCAAATTTAAATACCAAATAAATAAATAAACAAATGAAATTAAATAAAAGAATTCTTAAAAAAATTAAAAATAAAACAAAACAAAAACCACGCTAGGCATGTGTGCTTGAGTGCCTAAAAATCCTCAAAAGAGAAACGGAGGATAAGAGATTTTAGCGTGGCCATCCCCCCTCGGGGAATGTATTCTCACTTTCTCTCTCTCTTGTTAGTACACACACTCTATAGCAAAATTACAACAGGAGGAGGAGAAGGAGAAGAGGAGTATGAATAATCTAAGATGATGGAAAACTAAAACAAACCAACAAGATCTTTCCTAGCTGGTTTCAGCATAGAGTCAAACACAGATGTGATTTAACACTCACCCTCTTTCTGCACCCCCCAGTGCCCAGTTCCTCCCTGAGCTGGCTGTAGAAGCAGTCCAGGAAGCTGCTGGGCTGGGAGCCACCAGCAAGCCACAGCATGGATAACACACTTGCCAAGATTCAAGAATCTATCCCCAGTGGGGAAATACTTTCCCACAGGCAGCAGTCAGCGAAGCACGCCCAGCTGTGCAGTCGGCTCATCTGCACATGTGAATAGACGTTACGAAGATAGATAAATTACATTAGGGCCACTGTTACATGGTCCCATAACTAAAAAGACCAGCAGAGGGGACCACAGGTGGTGTGGTGATTAAGGCGCTGGACACTCCCACATGGCCGACCATGGTTTGAGTCCCAGACCTGGTGGCTTGCTTTCTCACCTTCTCCTCTCTCTCTCTGTGTCTCTCCCTGGTCAATTTATTTAAAAATTTATTTATTTATTTAATTTTAAAATTTATTTATTTATTTATTTAATTTACTTATTTAAAAATAAGTAAATAAATAAATGAGTGGCTAAATAAATAATTTTTTAAAAAGACCAGCAGAATGGGGAAGGTAAATTACGATCCTTTTCCTCCATTTTGGATCCCTTCTGTGAATGACTAGTTTTTTATTCTTTTTCTTAGTCCTCTGGAAACAAGAATGCAGAGCAGCAAACACAGGGACATTCTTGTGTAAAGGAGATCTGGGAACATTTTTTAATGAATGGGGGCAGGAGTTGGGATCAGCCACAAGGAGCTATGTACCCAGGAAGCATCACTGCCAACTGCACCACGTGCTGTCAGGTGATCGAGACCAGGGAGGAAGGCCTGGTTATCTCAGAAGCCTCTCCTATCAGAGAGCTGACTGTGGAGTCACACAGAGCAGTCTGAACTCACCACTTCTCACCTAATACCGGGTAGCCTTGGGCTCTTTAGTGAACCTGGGCTGCGGTTGCCTCCTCGGTCCCTGATGTGGCTTGGCACAGTGCCCAGAGTGCAGCCAGCAGTCCATGGCATTGTTATTATCCATGTGCACCACTGGCTGCCCGGGGGGTGGGGGGGAACAGCATTGAGCTAAGAACTAGGGCTCTGTCCAGCATTAGAATGACAATGACCCAGACTGTGGAAACAGCAAAAAGCCAGTTAAGGGCATTAGGGGGAGGCAGATGGAGGGAGGATTTGGAAAAGCAGTCACCCTGGCTCAATGGCTAAGGGATGCAATCACATATTCCCAGGGCCTCTCTGAGGAAGCCTGAGAGGAGACACGCGGGCATATGTACCTGTGGCCGCAGCGCACCCACACCCACGGTCCGGCGTGCTGCAGGACCTCAAACACTCACTTGCACAGGTCTTCCCATCACTGCGGAGCACGTGGCCCTCCGGACACTGGCAGGCAAAGGATCTGTCTGTGTTGACACAGGTGTATTCGCAGCCATGCTCACTCAGGAGGCAGTAATCTACCCCTGCAAAAGTCAACACCCGGGGAGGTCCCCGGGGCCTCTGTCAGCAAGGTCTCTGGACAACAGCGATGGGAGCCAGCATGCTTTTCTCTCGCCCAGCCCAAGGCACACAGACCCCAGCAGATATCCCCACAAGCTCTCTGGGATAGAGAAAAGGGCCGAGGAGAAGGGAACTATGCGTGACCTGCCATCCTCTGCAGGAATCACACTCATTTCACTACTGTTGCAAGAGAAGCATGAGGGAGGGACTCACGGGAGCAGGTCTTGAGGTCCTCATTGATGAGGAAGCCTTCCGAGCACTGGCAGACGAAGGACTCCTCTGTGTTCAAGCACAGCTGCTCGCAGCCATGGTCCTGCTGCGCACAGTGGTCCACCCCTGCGCTTGTCACACACGTGAAAACATAAAACGACAGAGGTTGCCACAGCCTACCAGCAGCAGGGATTGAAAAACAAAACCTCCTCGGAGGCTTGACAAGGAAGCTTCCGTTCTACCCCACACCACTGGCCTCTCTGGAGAATCAGCCTTGCTTGCTTGTTTGTTTTCCCTTCTCTGTTGGAAGAGTGAAATGCATACAACTCCCCAGACTGGCAAATGCTGTCCCTGGTATTAATGACAGCAGCAAACTGTGCCAGGGCCTTGGCATGCACATCTGCAACCTCAGGGCAAGGCTGAGACTAGGAACAATTCCCATTGCACATAAAGGAAAGCAAGGTCCAGGAAGGGCAAGATGCTTGCCCCAAGTGGCACAGCAGAGAGAATAGGGCTGACGAATGAGGGTTCTGGTGGCAAACTGCTTGAGCCCAAACCCCACTTCTGCCACTTTCTAGCTGTTAGTGCTGGATAGTCATGCGACCTCTCTGTGCCGTAGTTTCCTGATTTGAGAAATGGAGATGATGAAGGTTGCTTTCGTATAGGAATGTGATGAGAAGTAGAGGAGTCAGTACACGTAAAGCCTTCAGGGCAGTGGCGGGTATACAGCAACCACTTAATAAATGCATACTAATACTAAAAAATTCCTGGGAAGTGTGTATTATGAAAAAACTATGGGTGGGTTTCAAAAATCCAAAACAAACGTGTACTTTAATTCCATGAACATTCTGAAGTCCTTTCATAGTGTTAAGAATTCACTGTATAGTTTCCATTTCTGTTATATTTGAAAATGAAGAAGAAAACATATTTCTTTCCTTTTTTTTTTTTCCCCCCAACCCTCATAATCAGGTCATCCAGATTCAGAAAACAAATGAAAGCCTGTGTAAGTGTGGTCCATTCCTGCACAGCAGGTCCCCTGGACAGTGAGCACTGAGCACTAGGAAACCGCAGCTGAGTGAATGGCACCCATAGACAGTCCGACACACTGCCTCCCAGATCTCCTTGATGAAGAAAATGCACCCACAGAGGCTGGACAGACACTGGAGGCCTTGTGTAGGGCTGCCAAATGCACTTCTTGAATCCCACAGGGCCTGGGACCAGTGCCTTCTGGAACATTCCATTGAAGGATGCACCTATTGCAAACACTTGAAGGATCTTGGAAGCCACATGCCTGTGTTCACATCCTGGTTCCTCCATCTCTGAACAGTGATAGAAATGTGGATGCTTCCTGGGGCTAGTGTGAGGATACAACGATTTAGTGCATGGCAGGGGCAGACAGCAGTGCCTGCACGGAGGGTGACCTTCTTCTTCTTTTTTTTTTTTTTTTTTTTTGTTGTTGTTTTTATTATTATTTATTTATTTGATCACTATACATCATTTAGATTGTAAAGAGACTTTACCCAGCATGATATACACCTCAGTCCAGCTCAGTTGAGAATACTACACACATCCTCATCAACAGATAATAAACCATATCTGTGTCCCACAAGTGTCTTACCTCTCTATTTTTTCCCCAAATTTCCCTTCCTTAGCTCTTCCCCTCCCACACTCTCCTTCCACTTTGTCTTTAGTGTCCATAACAACTTTTAATGCTTTTATGTCCTCTAGTCTTTCAGTCTCTACCATAGAGTGTGGAGAGACAGTATATGTTAAGTGGAGACATACAATGTCTCTCTTTCATAGCCTGACTTGCTTCACTCAGCAACAAATCTTCCATATTTGTCCACTTTCTATCAAATACCAGGGCCTTGTTGTTTCTTATGGCTGAGTAGTATTCCATGGAGTGAATGTGCCATACTTTTTCAATCCATTTATCTGTTTGTGGACATTTGGGTTGGTTCCATGTCTTAGCAATCGTGACTAATGCTACAATAAATATAGTTGTGCAAGCACTTTTCCAACTAAGCATTCTCAGTTACCCTCTAAGAATTTGCTATCACTAGGGCCTGGGGCTCCTTGATCTCTCAAGGGGAGCAGAAGACCATGTCTATCTCTGGGAACTACTAGACAAAAAAGGCTTCGCTTATACTTTCATAGAGCTGACCAGATCCCAAAGAGAAAGGTGGATCCTATTCTTTTTCGGTCATCCTCTAACTACTTCTAGGCTCCCCATGTCACACTGGAAGATAGAGGCAGAAAGGCCATGGCCCCTGGTGGCTGAGGTGGCTCAGCTAGATCAGGTCCAGCCTGCCCCGGAGACCTGCCGGGCCAATAGCTGGCAGCCCCCCACACTCCTGGTCAAAGGCAGGATTAGCACAGATCCATCATCATCAGGGCATCTCCTTATGGAATAGAGACCAGCGGCTCCTCATTGCTCCACTAAGGGCTCAGAGACATCCAGAGCGGGAACACGAAGCAGGGCACTGACCCTGGCACTAACGTCCTAGTTCAAAAGTTCTCCAGCCTCTGAGATCAGACCCTGGACGCCTAATGGGGACACTTTGTCTCCTCTGCAGACTGAAGGGGAATGAGTTTTCCTGAGGACTGCTGTGCACCTCGCACTGCATCTGTGAAATGTACCCTCCTAGCAGTGGGGGGACCCCAACGCTTAACAGCTGCACTGTCCTTGCTCAGAATCCATCTCTGTCCTCAAAGCTGGAGCAGATGTGCGGCTTGCTGGGTGCAAAGTCACACAAAGGGCCCCTTCTACATGGACTGTGTCTCCAAGCCATCTCCCAGTGGCCCGGGGCCACAGGATCCACCACAGCACCCGTGTTCTCCCTCCCCACTGCCTGGGCCAGTGAAGACTGTGCCTCGTAAACATGAGCAGCCGTCCAGCTGGCATGGCCGGCAAGTTCCCATGTGTTTACATCACCAAATACCGCTCTGTGTGGCTGACACAAATGCCCACTTCTCAGCTCTGCCCTCAGATCAGCCTGCTCTTTCCTTTTGGAGGTTAGTCCTGGGAGTCTTGTCCCTGCCGGGTCATCCTCACAGGCTCCATGATATGAACTGTGACCCTTGATTGGATATTATCTCCCACGAGGCACAGTGCTAAGAGGCTGAAATGGTCCCGGTTACTCCCTATAACCACCCTTTGGGATCAACGCTATTACTTTGTTCACTTCTTTAAACAGATGTGAAACCAAAGCTTAGAGGAGTTGAATATCCTACCCAAGGTCATGCATCTAGTATGCGCTAGAGTTCGAATTTGAATTCAGGCCTTTCTGACTTGGTAAATATTCTCAACAGCAAATAATAATATAAGAGGAGGTGATCGTTAAAAAGTTCATGGAAAATGTGTATTGAAGAAACTATGCATGGATAATGTTTTGCACCAAAATTAATTCATACTTTAATTCTATTTTTCCATGAACTCTGTGAAGTTCCCCTGTACTAGGTAATGTCTGCTGAGCACTTGTGCCTAGCAGCACTGTTCTAAGTGTTTTATATGGCACTGGGTCATTGAAAAAGTCTTGATGCATTTTTGCATAGAAAAGCACGTCATGATGTTTCCCATGACTCAATGCACATGGGTAATCTCAATGCTCACAATCCAGCCCATGAGGTGGGTACTATTGCTAGCCCCATTTCATGGATGATGAAACCAAGGCAAGGAAGGTTATGACTATTGGACCATCAGATCCACAGGAAACTAGGGAGACCCAGGTATGACTGACTGTGAGCAGCCCACCCCGGCACACTCACGGCTGCAGGTCTTGCCGTTGGGGTCCAGAGTGTAGCCCCGGCGACAGCGGCAGTAGTAGCCCTCCTCTGTGTTGACGCATTCGTGCTCACAGCCTGGTCTGTTCAGGGCACAGTAGTTGATCCCTGCAGGAAGAAAACACAAAGTCTCCTTCGGAGTCTGAGCTCGTCCAAGGGCTGTGAGGGCTGCAAGGGCCCTCAGATTACCCAGGAGTCCCCATGGACAGCGCTGGTGGGTGTTCCTGAGGTGAACCAGGAACTGATCATTCACTCATTCATTTGCCAACCTGAGCTAGGTGTAGGGAGTGAGATCATGAGGAAGACAAGGCTCTTCACGGAGTTCGCACTCTGGTGAGGGGGCAGGCAAGGAAAAGAACTCATAAGACAGCATGGGGCACAGAGTTACGGTCAACTGGAGGCCTGAAGGGAGAAGAAGAATTAGATAGATAAGGGAACTGATGAAGACCTGGGAACAGCAAACACGGAGTCCTGGGGATGAGGTTAAGGGAGCACCCTTGGTGAGCTCTGAAAGGCTGAGCATGGTTGAAGGTAAAGAAATGAGGCTGGGAGGTAAAGGGCTTTGCAAGCCACAGGATACAGCAATGAAGGCTGCAACCAGGTGCCTGAAGGTGGGAGTGATGCTGGAGTGATGAGGGCTATGTCTTCAGGAAGACATTGCAGAGCCAGGTCCTTG